TAGTTTCTTTCGTCTTCAAATCTTCAGCTTTTTTTAGCTCCGCGTCTGTTTCTTGTTTCTTCTTCTTCGCCTTTGGTGGCGCAACATTTGCAACCTTCTTGATAGCTTGCTTCTTCTTGGTTTCCATTTCCACTTTTTTGATATTTTTCGAGGGTTTGACTTTCAAAACATTCTTCTTCGCTTCCAGTTTCTTCTTAGGGCTTTGCTTCAAGTTTTTTACTTGAGTTTTGTTAAATTTACACAACTTCTCCTTTATCTTGGCTTTAGCCTTCTTGAAAACCTTTTTCTTCACAATCCTACTCAAAGGCTTCCTTTGCAATTTTTTATCCAACGGATTCGGCGTTATTTCTTGCTTAATAGGGGTCAACTTTCCTTTTATTACGAAGGATATGGTCTCTGAAATAGAATCTTCAGCATTTTTTGCTTCTTTTTTCTTCTTCATGGCCGCTTTTGGGACTGCTGTCCCCTTAGGAGCAGTCTTCATTTTGATTTTGTTTCGGCTGGTTTTAGGTTATGTTCTTGACACTTTTAGTCCTGAAACAAAAGAAAAAATGTCAAATATACCGTAAAATATAAGTATACATATATGTTTGAATGATTTGCAATTCTGTTATGTTTACAGTCAGTTGTATAAAGCGCAGCATAAAATGGTTGTTTTATCTGTGAAATTTAAAGAGCACTTTTTTAAATTGTCATTTCAAAATTCGTGCTACCAACTTAAAAAACAAAAATGTGAAAATTTTAAACCTTAATTTTGCCATTATAACAACAAATTAACATTTTATATTGTTACTTATTTACTCTATATGTTGTTTTTAGTTTTTATTGATACTTTAATTTGTTTTAAAGTAGTAATTTGTTAATTTAAATACTTACAGCGTTTTATTTTTACTAAATTGGCACCGCTGAATTTGCCGTCACAGCCTACTCTTTATTATTTATCAAACTATTTTACCAACGAATTCACTATTAAATTTCTCCCAACATTTCAGGTGCCTACACCCTGTGTAATTATTAATTACGAATAATATATTTGTAGTTCATTGGTTCGCATTCAACAAACATAGAAACGTGTAAATTTCATCACAGGGCCGAATAATCCAATAATATTCGCTCGAAATTCGTTCGCCGGAAAATTTAAACGTAGATATCGTTCGAAATCTCGATTTAGTTAATTCCGTTGATGAGAGATTTGACAGTTGATCTGTCAGTTACACGATAATTTCGTTTGTTTTCGGTTTAATTGGCAACTGCGCTTGATGTTTGACAGTTCATATGTCAACTGAAATTTATTAGTGATGTGTTTAAATCGGTTTTCAGTAGTTTTTTGGAATTTTAAATGCAGATATTTAAGAGTTTTGTTTTGTTTATTTTGATCATTTGTCAAAAACAACAACTACAATTAAAAACAAATTAGGTCCATACACTATATTAATGTTAATATTTCTTAGAAATTTAAATTGAAAAAACAATATTTATACCTATTTATTTTCTTGTCATAAAACCGTCTTTTAAACTAAATTTAAAACTTTACCATGATAAAAGTATTAAAACTTTTAAACTAAAGTTAAAATGACAACAATACAAATTGTAAGAAATAGTTTCCAGTCGTTTTTACATAGACGACATGCCAACAGAAATATTTTAAGCCATAACAATAATTAAAGTCAAAAACACACAAATGGATTGTTTGATCCCATAAATTGAATAAACATTTATTTATTAGCACTAACACCAAGCGCTAAATGGCAGATATGTGTTTGTGTGTTGGTATTATACAGGCCCACTGCAGAACGTTAATTATCCTCGACATTAAATCGATGGTCAAATAATTATCCAATGTTTTGACAACCTTGAGCATACTTATACAGGGTTTCTGTCACACAACTTATAAAAGTAGATATAAAGAAATTAACTAATAGGTTTTAGATGGAACAAACTAAACCTATAAAAAATTCCAAAATGTCTTTAAACTGAGTTTTATATGAAACCTGTTTACTAAATGAGAGCCCTAGAAAGATATAAGTACATTTTGTTTAGTTTTGATATAATCAGGTTTAAATTAATTTGGAGTCAAAATTGTTTTTTATTTTATGACTTTGTTTTTCAAGATGTCATGGCAAGCTTAGAATTCAGTTATACCAAGGAAAATGTACCATTTACTATCTTTTTCTGTACATAACTACATTTTTAAATGTCACTTGTATCCTTTGACTTTTAGGGCCCTGAAATAATATTCGTGGTGTCATATTTTATTAATTTTCATCAACAGGTTGTTATAATTATTTAAATTGTCGGCAATGTCGAAAATTTAACAAAAAATTACACAACAGCGTTTTCTTTTTTGCTTTAATTGGATAGTCATTAGTCAAGGTATTTTCAGCTGGATCTTGCGCTATAATACACTGAAAGCATGTAATATAACGTGGAATCGATTTGGTAAAGAAACTGACCATAAAAAACGTAAAAATTAATCACACAAACGTAAAATACTAATTAAAACGAAATATTCGTTTGTTTCCTACAGCACACCACAAAAATATCGTCACTTATTTGTTTACCTTTCATTGCAAGCCAGCCTGCTTAAGGAACACACAAAAACAAAAGAATACACAACACGCACTCGACATACACAAAACAAACGAAAACTCAGTCAAATAACTCTTTGATATTTCGATTGAAACCGTTTTCGGTTACGGCAAGTTCACGCGAATTCGATCTCCTTCACGAACAATGTAACTCCCCGCCCTAGAAACGCGCTATTGCTTTGACAGTCGACCATTTCCATTCCGTTTAATAAACTTTCCAACTTCCGACCCCGGCGGTATCTACCGGCCGAAAAATTAACTTCGAATCGACGAAATAACGATTTTTTGCCCCTGAATGTATGCAACCCAGATTACAAGCCATAAAGAAAAATCACATCAAATTGTCGGAAATACTTATTATATTATTGCATAATTGTGTAATTGTTGTTTTATTAAATAATAGAAGTGCTACGCTGTCAGGCACCATTTTATTTAACACAATAAGAAAGCATTAAAAATCGAGAACTTTAGGTGCTTTCACTCGCCGAAGTTGCCGTCCTGAATTTTGACATTTAAACTTAACACGTCAGGCGGCCCGTAAATTTCATTTTGTTTACCCTTTCCAAAGTAATTTAAAATGAACCAATAGACTTAAACGACCTATTTTTATACTTAAAACACAACCAATTTATTGAAAGTCGCAATGGGTACGTACTAATACTTATATTTGATTGGGGAATAATTTTTAGGTTAATCAAAATTTTAGGTATGTTATTTAGTTACTTTAAAAGCCTCCTTGGCACAAGGGAGATGAGGATTTTGATATTAGGGCTTGATGGGGCAGGAAAAACAACAATTTTATACAGACTACAAGTGGGTGAAGTTGTTACTACGATACCCACGATAGGATTTAATGTTGAACAAGTTACATATAAAAATCTTAAGTTTCAAGTTTGGGATTTGGGGGGACAAACTAGCATAAGGTAAATTAACTGTATTTTTTTATTATACACGGTCCTGAGTTTTCAAATAATATAGTATATACCTAGTTATTATGGTAAAATGAAATTTTGATTTTAGGCCATATTGGAGGTGTTATTATAGCAATACAGATGCTATTATTTATGTAGTTGATTCAGCAGATAAGGAAAGAATGGGAATATCAAAAGATGAATTATTTCATATGTTAAGGGTATGTATGCATTATTGCCAAAAAAGAAATATGCTAAAAATAAGCTTATTTTTAAATAAATACATAATATGTATGTCTTCTATTGATTTTTTTTGCAAGTCTTCTAAAAATTGATCAAATTACTGTATTTAAATCATCCTAAAATTATATAAAGTATTCTAGAATGTTCCGAACATTCTAGAAAATATTCTAGAATGTTTCGAACATTCTAGAAATTATTCTGGAATGTTCCGAGCATTCTAGAAATTATTCTGGAATGATCCGAACATTCTAGAAATTATTCTGGAATGTTAATCTTTAAATAACCCAACTTTAGGAAGAAGAACTAAATGATGCTATTCTGGTTGTGTTAGCGAATAAACAGGACATTCCAGGTTGTATGTCGCTGAAGGACGTGCATCAAGCTCTGGGCCTGGAAGCACTGAAAAACCGCACTTTCCAAATATTTAAAACGTCGGCAACTAAAGGGGAAGGTCTGGATATGGCAATGGAGTGGCTGGCGAACGCTTTGAAGAATCGTAAATAACATTTCACCGTATCATTCGCCTCTAGTCTACACACAATTTTCAGTTTTTTCATTTGTAAGATATTGCCTTATTTTTTTTCAAAATCAACTACTAAAATTATTTTATTATAATTGAATGAATGAATGAGTATGTGCTTAATAATAAATAATAATAATAAGTGTTTTTTGTGTTTTCTCCGAAGTATTCTGTATATTTTTAGTCTTTTAATGTTTACATCATTCCACAAGTTTGTTTTACATTTATTTATTTAAGATTTAATTCATTATTATTTTCATCAGATTCTGAAATATATTTATAAATCATGCATCTATCTTGTATCATACATTTTGTACTATACATTATATAAATGTAGATGATGGATAAAATTCTTTTTATTTTACGTCCTACCTTTTGTATATGGGTCATTCCACCAAATAAGATTTTTAATGACTCACTGAAGATTTGAGCTCTTATTTCTTTTATCTTTTTTGTTGTGAAGATTTTGACGATATTTTTTTTAAAACTTTTTCGTTATTTTTTTTGGGTGTAAATAAAAATACAGTCTTGGTTTTCGTAAAAAATATTCATTCTTTATTATTCTAGCTTTGCAGCAATTTTTATTTGATTTTCAGCATGTTCCAAAACAATTAAGAAATAAATATTAATTAATAATACATCATATCATACGGTAATCCTATATATTTAAATTGTTTTAAGTATAAAATAAACAACCATTAGGTACATAACCTTGAACTGCAATGGAATTGTTGGTAGCTTATCTGCAACAATATTCAGTTAAAGTTAAAAATTATGTCGAACAATACGAAAATTATATACGCCGCTTGTGGTGCCCTTTTGGTGGGCTATTTAGCCTATTTGGGCATTTTGTGGGCTACAATTTTAGCCCTAATTGCCGGTTTTATAATATACAAGGTAAAGTCTGTGTTGGACATTCCGGAATTACCTGTAATAATTGAAAATAAGTGGTGGGGAAACGGAGAACCAAGAAAAGAAGACTCCGGGTCGGAAGAATTTAAAATTCATCTGTCAGATGAGGTAGGCATTTATATTAAGATCATGTTCATATAAAGGGTGTCTCAAGAATTACGTAACGCAGTTTTTCAGTGAATGTGTAAATTTCCAAAGTTTTCTTTCCCCTTAGCAGGAGTTATTTAATTTTTAAGGCCGCTTTTGGGCTTAGCGCATACTACAGTAGGTACACCATCTGGTGCCCTACCCTGTATTAGTATTTTTAATATCAGATAATCAACGGCTTATCTAAAATACGGCAGTATTCCTAAATAGTTTAACTGGTTTGCACTATTTATTTAATAGAAATAATGTCAGACAATACAAAAATTATATATTCGGCTTCTGGTGCCCTATTGCTAGGCTGTTTAGCCTATTTGCAAAATAGTATTTGGGCATTTTGTGTGCTACAATTTTAGCCCTAATTTCCGGTTTTATAATATACAAGGTAAAATCTTTGTTGGAAATTCCGGAATTACCTGTAATTGAAAATAAGTGGTGGGGAAACGGAGAACCAACAGATCTGGGCCTGAAGAAAATCAAATTTGAAATTCATTTCTCAGATGACGTATTATATTATATTCAGAACACCATACAAATACTCATTTATCTTTTTAGAATTTAAACTATCTCAAAACCAGTCTTAAAAACTCAAGGCCCCTAACACCGCCTCTGGAAAACGCGGCCCAAGAATACGGCATGAACACAAACCTTCTACGGGAAATTCTGGAGTTCTGGAACACGGCATACGACTGGAGGGAACGCGAAACTTTTTTAAATCAGTTTCCGCAATATAAAATCAACATACAGGGCCTTAAGATGCACTACGTCCATGTTAAACCTGAGAATAAAAATAACAAGAAGGTTCTGCCGCTGCTTTTGGTGCATGGCTGGCCCGGATCTGTACGGGAGTTCTACGAAATGGCCCCCATGCTTACCAGAGACGACCCCGGTAGAAATTTTGTGTTTGAGTTGGTTATACCGTCATTGCCAGGTAAAATAATTGTGGGTATTGGGAATATACAAATTATAGAATATTTTAGGATATGGTTTTTCTGACGGAACATCCAAGAAAGGCCTGGACCAAGTAGAAGCCGCTATTATTCTGAAAAATCTTATGAAAAGTGTTGGGTTTAACAGGTTTTATATACAGGGTGGTGACTGGGGGTCGGTAGTTTGTACAAATATGGCCACATTGTATCCTGAACATGTAATAGGGATTCATACTAATATGCCTGTTTCTATGACCTTAAGAGCCACTATTTTAACGGCGGTTGGCATGGTATTTCCTCAATTGGTCGTAGAAAATAAACATAGGCACAAAATGTATCCAATAAAGTATAATTATGATGAAACTGCTTATGCTCACTTTCAACAAACGAAACCTGACACTATTGGTGATATTTTATTTTTCTATTGTTTATAAATCTGATTCGGACAATTTTTTTAAGGAGTTGCATTAAACGATAGTCCCATTGGTTTGGCAGCTTACATTATAGAGAAATTTGTCACTTGGACCAAATTAGAAAACAAGAAAAAAGTTGATGGAGGTCTGAAAGAAAAATGGGACTATAAAAAGTTATTGGATAACGTGATGATTTACTGGATTAACAATTGCATAACAACATCAATGAGATTTTACGCCGAGTTTAAAAACAGTAAACAGCAGAAAATCCTAAATAAGTAAGAAAGCCCAAAAATGTAAAAAAATACTTTCACATTTTTTTAGGATCCCAGTCAAGGTACCAAGCGGCTGCGCAAGATTCTCAAACGAAATATTTTACATGCCCGATTTACTTCTCGAAGATAAATTCCCGAATTTAATTCACTCATCTGAACTCGAAGGAGGCCATTTTGCCGCATTTGAAGTTCCCGATGTTTTGGCCAAAGATATTATAGAATTTGTTCAGAAAGCTGAAAAAAAATAGTGGGAAATTATGGGTTATAGAGAACATTCTAGAATTTTTTCTGTAATGTTCCCGATTTTCTAGAACGTTCCCGACTTTCTAGAATGTTTCATTTAAGTGAACATTCTAGAAAATGTAAAAGAACATTCTAGAACACCTTACCTATGTAACCATTTTAGTTTTGAATTGTAAAAAAACATTTGTTATAAAAAATAACTTTTATTACTTAAACAATAAAAATACTCAAAAACACAAGTTTAAAACAGCTCTTCTTGCACCATAGGCTCGCCAAATCTTGCAATCTTACTCTTAGTACCTTGCAACTCGACTTGTACCTTCTTTCTGATATAAAAAATTGGACAATCTCTGCTGGTGCACAAAATCTCTTCGTGTAAAGACCCCTGGCATCTTTGACACTCGGTAAAAAGTTCGGAAAATCTGTCCTCCAACATTCTATGATGACACAATTCTTGCTGGTAGATTTCGCTTTCCCGCGGCTTACAATACGCGCAAATCGCTTCTTGTTCGTAGCCTTTCGCCAAAACCGACTTACAACCAATACAAGTCTCCTTTTTCTGCGTAAAAGCCGCCAGCGCACCAACTTTCGAGGTTATCTTTGCTTTGGTTCTCGTATGATCGCCACCTAAAGAAATAAGAGAACATTACAGAATTTTTAAGAACATCCTTGTCGAAAACTCACGCAGCAGTATAGATTCCGTGTTGTCACCCAAGACAGGTTCAAAAATCCTCACCAAAGGCTTGGAGATTTGGTTGTCGAGATAATAGGAAGAATCAATAGGTATGTTGTTTTCCAGCACGAAAATTGGATCCTATTGACAAAAATAAGTCATTCTAGAAAGTTCCAAACATTCTAGAAATTATTCTGGAATGTTCCAAACATTCTAGAATAATTTCTAGAATGTTCCAAACATTCTAGAAATTATTCTAGAATGTTCCAAACATTCTAGAAATTATTTTTCTCTGTTAACTCACTTCGGCTTTTTCGAAAGCCTTGGCGTTTTTGGCGCCAGCAACAATGACGTACGGGATGCGGTCGCCCAATTTCGGGGCGTTTCCGGGATCTCTTTTCTTCATCTTGGCGGCCAATTCGACGTGAGCCTGTTTGGCTGCGTAATCGCTTTTGGTTAGTTCCTTTGTGATGACCAATTTCGATATGTCGACGTTATTTTGGAGCAAGTCAGAGATGACCAGTTTCGCGTAGTTGATTGCTCCGTCGGGATCTCTAAAACATAATAATTAAGTACGGAAAAATATTTTTAAATAGTGGATAAATACCTGTCAATTAAAAGTTTTTGCAGACAAGTATTGATAACGTCCACCACGAGAGTACAGTTATCTCTTCTGACTGTTTCAATGCCCTTACAGTCCATTTTATCGTATTTTTCGGGAGTTGTAAAGTATAACCCGGCATAACGTTTTTTGTTAATCAATAAATAGGGGAAATAAACCTAAAATCATAATTGTACGTTACTCAATCTCAGGGAACATTACAAGAACATTACCTTCTCGAATTCAAGTTTAATAGGCTTTATAAACTTGGCACTTATTAATTCCGCTGCTTCTCTACCTAATTCCATGCTTCTCTCTAAAGTTTTAACCTTGAAGTTCACCATAACGGAATCGGTATCGCCGTAAATAACTTTGGCGTCTGTTTCGTAGCCATTTTCTATTCGGTAATGTTGTTCCACTTCTTGTTTGGTTTGCTCTATCATTGTACGCCCGTATGCGGTTACACTCTACATGAAAACATAGAAAAAATGTTCCATTTATGGTAGAACATCATAGAAAAGGTACTATGAAGGTTTTTTAGGCCGTGAAACCTTATAGAATGTTTTGGCACAGTGAAAACACTTATTGAATTTTATAATGTTAACATTGCTTCTAAACTACATATATTTGTAAAAGATCAAGTCATGGAATATTCTAGAATGTTTTCCAAACACTTTCTAGAATGTTCCTTTTGGATTAAGCATTTTAGAATGTTCCATGAGCAGTAAAAAGAGAGATAACTTACCCCGGATATTTCCAGACAGGGTAATTTTCCCACTTGTGCGCCAGTAAAACCGTATACAGAGTTGGCGGATATTTTGTAAGCCAACTGTCTACCATTCAGGACTGTTTTCATTATGGAATCCGTTTCGTCCTTAAGCAAAGCTTTGGTCTTCTTTCTAGCCGATAACAAATGTTGAAGGAGTTGCGGCAACAAACCCGGCCGCACCGTAGATTTGACAAACATGCATTCGGCCGGCGTGAATGTTATTTGATCGTTGGTAAGACTAAAAAAACAACAAAATCAACCCAACATCGCGGCTCGAACGATATTGTTACCCAAGCGATTTTCTCATAGGTTCTCTCAGCAGAGTGGTGTAGCACAGATTGTGCGCAATCATGATGCTGGGATACAGCGAGCTGAAATCCAGGGTGGCTATGGGATCCGTGTAGTAGCCTCTGATCGGTTCGATGACGGTGGCGCCCTCGTACTGTTCGGAACTAGGCGCGCCGTGATGCGTCGGCATGAAGTAGTTTTGTTTTCTCGCCTTAAGTGACAATTTGAAGCGTTTTAATGCGAAAAGAACATTCTAGAATGTTCACCTCTGTGTTGGAACATTCTAGAAAATATTCTAGAATGTTCCAGAAAATATTCTAGAATGTTTCACTATAAATTGAACATTCTAGAAAATATTCTAGAATGTTTCACTTCAAATGGGACATTCTAGAAAATATTCTATAATGTTCCATTAAAATGTGACATTCTAGAAAATATTCTATAATGTTCCAATATAAATGGAACATTCTTGAAAATATTCTAAAATGTTCTTCTTATCAGGAAAAGGTTAATTTGTGTCGAGATGGTAGGAAACAAAGTTTGTGTATGTGTTAAGTATATATTTTGCATATACGAGCCCTGTCTCAGTGAAGTTGGCCCAACTAACAAAAATAGTTTTTTGAAGATATTTAAAATATTATACGGTAATTAATTAAAATTAACACATTGTTTTAATTAAATAAATAACGTTTATTAAATTTTCTACCGTTAAATTGTATTTTTAAGTACCTAATAAAAAAATATTTAAAATTCCCTTATATTGTCCGTAAACCAAAAATTAAGAAAAAAAAATATTTTAAATAAATACATTTTAATTGGAAACTACGAGTGCGTAACATCTCCTTTATGGCTTATTACTGCCTGTATACGTCTCGGCATGGTGTCAACCAATTTTTGACAATCATCCGGCGTAAAATTATTCCAAATTTCTTGCAGGCGAGCACGCAACTCTAAGACGGTTTTTGCGGGCTGTTCTCTGAGCTTCTTTTTCATAATATGCCACAAAGTTTCTATTGGCGAAAGATCTGGACTACTAGATGTCCATTTTAAAAGTGAAATATTATTTTCTATCATCCAAGCTTTCAATTTTTTAGCCGTATGACACGTTGCACCATCTTGTTGGAAGATGCATTCAATATCATTTAAACGCATTTCTTCAATTTGCGGTTTTAAGTTATTTTTTAGGACGTAAATATATTTATCAGCATTCATAATGCCCTCTACAAAGTGTAATTTACCGATCCCTTTAGCTGACATAGATCCCCAAATCATCACAGAGGCCAGAAACTTTACTTTTTTCTTAAGACAGTCATTGTGATAGACTTCTGCTTTAGTACTAATGACTCGGCTTCGATTATCACCAACGCAAACTTCAAATCTAGCTTCGTCACTTCATATAATTGAATCCTATTGATTTTGACACCAAGTCCTGTGCTCTTTTGCCCAGAGAAGTCTATTTTTCTTTGCCTACAGATAGTTAAATTAAAAATAAATAAAAATCGTATACATTATAAGCAAACCTTGTAAGTTTTTGAGCAGCTCTATGACAGGTTGCTCTTGAAAAACATTTACTCGTTGCCTGATTCCACAAAACTTTTAATTCATCGTAATTAGCCCTACGATTTTGAACGATAATTCTTCTTAAAGCCCTTAAATTTTTATTAGAATAGTGAGGACGACTTCCATTTTTTGGTTTCTGCGCCACAGATCCTGTAGTTTTGTGCAGTTTAATAATATTTCGCACTGTATATCGTGACAAATTAACAGTTTCAGCGATTTGTGCAGCGGATTTTCTTTTTAAATGCAAGTGAATTATCACTTTTCTTATTTCTTCAGAAACAGCTTTTCCTCTGGACATTATTATTTGTCAACCACACCGAAAGCATAAATATATACTGGAATGTTACTACCGACTTGCTTACAATTATTTAAATGTCAAATATTATCTTTACTTTTAGCACAGCCGACTTGCATTAAAAAATCTGGCCATCCAAGTTAATGCATTTTTGTCGATTTTTTTGTATTGTAACCAAACATCCAACTTAAAACTAAATAATATACATACACATATTTTTAAAAAAAATTTACAACATGAAAATTGACCAAGAATTACATATGATAAAAAATTGTTGGCTTTTCATCGCATAAAATTACAAATTTTATATTTTGAGTGGTTGGGCCAACTTCACTGAGACAGGGCTCGTATTATATTATTACAATATAATATAATGAATAATATAATATATGAAACTACACTATAAACATTATTTATTTTGTTCGGAATGTTCTAGAAAATATTCTATAATGGTCCACTTTAAATGGACCATTCTAGAATATATTCTATAATGTTACAATATAATTGGAACATTCTAGAAAATATTCTAAAATGTTCCATTATCAGAAAAAGGTTAATTTGTGTCGAGATGGTAGGAAACAAAGTTTGTGTATGTGTTAAGTGTATATTTTGCATATATTATATTATTACAATATTATATAATGAATAATATAATATATGAAACTACACTATAAAAATTAACAAAAAATAGTCATAAATATAATATAAACAATATTCTTTAGTCCAAACCTCCGATTTTTGCATCTTTTTCATTCTAAAATATACAAAAACCGAAATAACATACAGGTTGTTTAAAAATCGCCCGGCAAATAAAAAACTTTGTTCTAGAAACATTTTTCGTTTGTCGGGAGATTTTTAAACGAGAACTTACGCAAATATACTCTAGATATATTTGTATAGAACATATTCAAAAATGTTCCACTATAAATAGAACATTCTAGAAAATATTCTATAAGGTTCCAATATAAATGGAACATTCTAGAAAATATTCTAGAAACATTTTTCGTTTGTCGGGAGAGTTTTTAAACGAGAACTTACGTGTCTTAGAAGTTGCGCCACAACTTTAACCTGCTCGCCTTTGGTTATCAAACTGGTAATTGGTACGCCTGTAACCCTGGCCATTTCGACGTCGTTCGTGAAACTTTGGACGGTTCTGAGCAACCTTAGCGGTAACTCGGCGTCTTTGAGACAGTACACTGCCAACCTAACCGAGAAAAGTGAGATTAGGTAGATTCGTTTTTAAACTTTTAAACTCCTTTACCTTCTTCTTGTCTGTTCGTCGCCATTTTGCAAGTCGGTGATGATGCTGTAGTGCACGTCCTCCTTCTGCTCGCCCAGTATTTCGGTGCACACGCTGTTCAAAGTGTAGGATCTCAACTTGAAGTCCCTCTTCATGATCAAAAACACGTCGTAGGGGACTCTGCCCTCGAAGTTGATGGTTTTGTAGGTTCTCTTGCCGATTTTGGTTTGCGTGACGGTTTCCTTGACTTGCGACCTGGCGTTCAAAATTCTGCTCAGGTATTCGAACTGCGGTAGCTTCAAGTGCTTCGCTCTGTCCAGCAGAAAGGGGAAATCGAAGTTGTTGATGTTGTAGCCGGTGAAAATGTCCGGATCCACTTCTCGA